CCAAGGGTGCTAAATTAGTTACTTGAGTTTAGCCTCTTTTCTAGGACATTGTCTTTCTGCCTTTCCTAAGGGTAGATGAGAATGGAAGGAGGTGACCTGTTTTGCTTCAAGTCTGTCTTCTCGGTGAATTTTATCCATTTGGAGCACATTTGCTGGATATAGACACCTAACAATTGCTTTGATTCCCGATTCTTCTCCTCCCTTTGGTCTCAGAGATACAATTTGCAGATGCTTCTCTTCCTGCAGCTGTGAAGTAGTGCTCATTAAGGAACACAATAGGAAATATTCCTTGTGGTTTAAATGACCTCCCTCCTAGTAGCAGCCTTTCCAGGACAGCTGCGGTATTTTGTAAATAATATATTAAAAGTATTTCCTCTGTATATGCTCTTTATTAATTGTAAGCACTCATATTAATGTAGCTGTTTAGCAAACCTTTCTGAAAGTAGGATAGTTAAGAGCTGATGTTGTTTAGGGAAAGCCTTTTATTGCAGCCTCGTGATTTTGCTTTTGGCGTATTAATATACCCCTTGCAAAAGCGGGTGAGAAAAGGCAACGCGAAGTTTAGTAATACTAAGCGATTTAGGATAGTAAAAATGAACACCTGCATTGAGCAATTGTGGAGGGATCTTATGCAGATGAGTGGCTGTACAATAAAATAAGAAATTAAATTTAGCTTAGAGAAATAACAAACATGGAAAAATATTGACTTCCTGGAGCCTGTAATTTTAATATCGTGCAGATCTACATAAATTTGTAAATTTATAGAAAGAGGTAGCACTGATGGCTATCAGCCAAAAGTGAGAGATCTTGGCAATAGAAAACTGCATGAGAATATCAGCTCAGAACTGTATCAATCGAAAAAGCAAAGCAGATGCAGGAAGGGAATAAAGCAGAGAACTTTATTGTTGCACTGTATAAAGCTGTGGTTCACCCTTATCTTGAGATGCTGCAGTTGTGGTCCCCCCATCTCAAAGAACTGTGGAAGAGTTAGGGGAGGCTGATCCTGCATAAGGAGCAATTTCTGTACAGTCTGGAAAAGAGCCAGCTTGGAGAGTTCTGTGGTGGGTGCCTGCAAAACCGTGGGTGGTGTGGAAGAGGGGCAGGGACTGACCGTTGCCTCATCCAGCACAAGAACTCTGGTTCTTTCACTGTCAGGTGAAACTAGTAGGAGTCATGTTCCAAACAAAAAGGTCATTCTTAGCACAAAGGGTAGCTGACCAGGGAACTTCTCGTCAAAGCTAGGAGTGACTGGTTACATTTTTAATAGCTCAAGAGATGAGGGAAGCCTAAGGAGAGAATCTGGGGGTTACTGATCAAGTGGAAACCCCATCTTTGATGAGAAGCATCTCAGCTAATAATGGTTAAAAGCTGGGCAAGTTTTAAGAGTTTACTTGCATAGTTTTTAGTCCATGCCCTAAATATCTGCTTTTGGCCACTAGTGAGACAACCTACTGGATCTTTGGTCTAACTCAGTACAGTTAGTGTTAGCACTTTGAGGATGGGCTAGGTAACATCTTGGAATCCTTCTCACCTTCAGTTTTATGGTGGAGTTCATAATCTTAATCTGGGAAGATATGGTAATTTTCAGCATGAAACGAGTTTTACACCTCAGGAGCCTGTACAATCTGGTGGTTTGGCCTGCCCCGGAGTGTAGTACCTTCAGACTCAGGGGAGCAGCTCGGGTGTTGTCTTTCTGAGAGTGTTGCTGACATAATACCACTCCCTGAGTATTGAAAGTAATGAAACTTAATTTTCTGTGAATCTGCATCCTCATGGTTGACTCTTTTTTTAGCTTAATGATACTGAAGCTGAAGAGAGTGATGGGTGCCACAGTATCCGTATGAGGGAGACACTCTGAAGAATGAATATTCAATGAGATATGAGCTCAAGCTGAAAATATTCTCACAGCTCAGGCATTCCTAATATCTCTCCTGTGTAGGTTGCCAGGCATTTACTGAAAGTAGAACTTGCTCTGTTCTTTCCTTCAGTGAAAGCATGTAAAGTGTTTTGTCTGTCTGTCTGCTTTTTTTCTCAGAGCTTCTAGAAATTTAAAGTTTTCAGTGTTCTCTCTTAGCATTTTTACCCATTCAGTAGTTTCAGCCAAATATATTTTTGGAGAAATATGATGCCTTTTTTTTAAAAAAAAGTCTATTTAAAAGTTAAGTTGGTATCTTGTTTATTTGGTTCCATCTCTGAAGTATTTTACTGCTTCAAAATGTGTAAAGCACCGATTGTCCTAACTCAATCGTAAGTAGCAAAAAGGCTAAAAATGGACCAAGGAGCACACCCAGCAGCTTTGTTTCACTGGATGTTAATGCTGGTGGGATTTTGGTGCTGGCAGCACTGTGGGTGCGTGTAGTTTGACTGTGGCTTCTGAAGTCTCGAAGCATTAAATGAACGAGTGTAAGGTGTGTTCTCCTCCTGCGTGGGTCCCGGTTTGGCTTCCTGCCTGTCCTGTTGGAAAGACTTGAGACATAGAAGGGACGGATGGTTGTGAACTCAGCGCAGGGGCATTGCTTCTGCGATGAGCTGATGTGATCTAAAGCTTTCTTTTGTTTTTCCCCATGGGAATTAGGAATTTTTCTCACAAAATCAAATGCAATTTTAGGACCACGAGGGACATCTCTGCCTGCGTTGCTGTTTATATAGTGTCATTTAAAGAGAACTTGAAAAATATTTCTACTGCAGGTTGGATTTTGTGACTTCATGTTCCATCTGTTGGCTTTGAATCTCCACTGCTATCTTTTGCTATTGTCTTCTCATGGTGGGGTCTTGGGGAGTCACTTCCTCAGTCAGCCCTTCCTCATTAGTGAAAAAAGGTTAAACACCTGGGCACTTCCCGTCAAGTGTTGCTGTAACTGTGCTTTGAACCTCTCTGTTGTACTGCTTTTTCTTTTCAACATTTCCTCCTGCGCCGCTTTCAATGAACGATGTTCAAACACCGCGCGTTTCCCTGTGGCCCCTGCTCCAGTCGCACTGTAATGACAGTTCTCACTGTGTGACTTCGTGTAGGTGTATGCTACCTGCCAGCTTTCTAAGCAATTATGTTTTATGTCAATTTATTAAAAAAATACTATGTAACAATTACTTCAGCGCTGACTCTTGTTATTTGTTGCTCAAAACCGAGTTTCCATCAAGCTACTTTTACTGTGAGACAGCTCAGGTGGAGGGCTGGAGCAGCGCCTTTCCAAAGAGATACCAGGGAATTCATATTTGAAAGGGAGAATGGGCTAGTTACTCACACATAGGATTTAACAATGTTGCAGAATTACTTTGCTAATGGGAATTTTCTATTTAAACACACACAAGAAGCTGAATTTTCAAAAGTGATTTGAATAGCGAGAAGAACAGAGGGTTAAGTTAGAAAGGAGGGTGGAACATTCTGACAAAAGCTGCAGAGTGAGGGACAAATTTTGTAGTTTAAGTACTACTGTAGCCAAGGGTGAAGTCAGTGTATCTTGCTCTTCTACCTCTAAGGCCTTGGGTTCTCAGGTAAAGTAATACAAGGTAGAAAGGTTGGGTTTTATTCCTTAATTGATAACTGAGTCCACTCAGCTAGGTCTGGTTAATTGTATCCCTTGAAAGCGCTATCACAAGAATCTGTTACGGAAGGCCCACATGATTAAAATTTCCTTGGCAAGTGACTGATGAGAGAAAACACCTTTGTATTTGATAACTTTTCTTTTTTTAATCTCATTCTGTTTTAATAGATGCACTTTGCTTTCTCTTTGCAAATTATTTCACAGCATACATTTGTTTGTAGCAGCATGTTTTCACTTTGGAAAATCTGTGTGAGAATTCACTGATGGTTGTAACTCATCCAACAAGGGCTCCTTATAGGGAAAAAGGTCTGATCAAAGCTGAAAATCTGCTGCTTGGAAAGAAACGGAAACCTGTTGCTGCAAATGTCTGTAGATACTCTGTAATTTAATTTAGGTGTTAGAATATCTTTCTGGCCTAGAGCTGACTAGAAATAGCAAAACAATACTGTCATTTTCTGGATATAGTTACTAGTTGGATTATTTCTATGCAGAATTTTATTTATCTCTGTTCTTTCGTATCTTCATCCGTATGTGTTACTTGGTTTGTTCTTAAATAAAAACAAAAGCATTCTTCCAGGTTTTATGGATTCAGAGATCTGGAGATGTGACCTTCCAGATGGTTGGTACTGGGTGTCTGAAACTTTCTGAGCTGTCGGGTGTGTTGATGTCTTTTTACAACTGACTTTTATTAGTTTTTTTAATTCCTAACAGTAAGATTGCAGAAAAATATCCTTTTTTCTGATTTCTTCATTCCTGCCCAGGACAGACATGACCTGTTGCTGACACTTGGAAGTATTTAAGCATCATGGCTATGACAGTACCAGTGTTTTAAGTGTTATTTCACTGGTACGTGGCTGGGAATTGGAAAACCAGGAGCCACCACTCCCCAGGATGTGTTTGTAGTCACCCTCTTGTACCTTCTGGCTTGGCACAAGAGTGATCTATTCGAGAACAATACACTTTATTTCTCCCCTTTTTAGAAACTGTTTTAATTCAAACATATTACTAAGTGTTCTATTGAGTGTTTCTAAGAATTCATAGGATTCATTTAACCATTTTTGTTCCTTGCAAAGTTAAAAACTTTGTGCTTTATTCACGGTATTGACTGTCGCAAAGCTAGGCTCTATTGCTAGTCCCATCTAAATGAAAAGTAAAACAAAATCTGCCATGTCTTTTTTCCTTTTGGGTTGATATTTCATAATTTTTACGTTCCTTTTAGAGTTTCCCTCTGCTCCATTGCCATTTGTTTTCACTAATTTAATGAAAAGCTCTGTAGTAGCTCTTCATGGGAGTTTATTGTTGGTAAATTCATAGAAATGTTGTATGCTTTGTAAGCTTCAATGGAAGAAGGTGCAGAAGGGGATGAGGGCATTTGTAGTGTTTGAGAGTGTTTCTAAAGGCTGCAGCAGCACAAGAAATGATGATGTGGTTTTCTTCTAAAAATTTTCTTTTTAGTATTTCAAAACCAAATATGGCAGCTGTGAACATTTTTATAGGCTACTGTTTGGATAGTACATTTTCTTGTAACTTACTGGACTTTTTCAGGCAATTTTTTTGATAGTACAAAAAATTCATCCCATGCTATCCTGGAAACCTGCCTTGGGTCTGTTGTAATCTTTCTCTTTCTTTTTTCCTTAGGAAATTTGCTACAAGACCCTATTGCTCCCACCAACTCTACATGTCAGCATTATGTCTGCAAAACGTGTAAAGGCAAGAAGATGATGATGAAACCGTCATGTAGCTGGTGCAAGGACTACGAACAGTTTGAGGAGAATAAGCAGTTAAGCATCTTAGTGAACTGCTATAAGAAACTCTGCGAATACATAACGCAGACTCCATTGGCACGAGATATTATCCAAGCAGTTGATTGTTCTGCAGATCTTCTGGCTTTGCTCAAAGATGGATCACCACTCCATGAAGAGACGGAAAAATCTTCTGATACAGCCTTGGCTTTGTGTTTGACACATTCCCCAGTACCTTCGACCTCAGAACTCACAACTGACCCTCCAGCTAGTTTTACGTCGATACCTGAAAGCACACACAACATCGATATTAGAGCTTCTGTTATCAACGGGTTGCCCAATTGTAATGGGCTTTCGGTAGATAAACTCGGAGTGAATATTCCTTCTCCCGAACACGCGAACACCATTGATGTCTGTAGTACTGGAGAGTTTATAAAAACTGAGGATATCTCTAGCAGCCTGCAGCCTGTGTGTGATACAGTGTCTACCAGTGACTTGTGTACAACAGGCATTGACATCTGCAGTTTCAGCGAAGACATAAAACCAGGAGGCTCGCTTCTCCTTAGCGTCGAGGAAGTTCTCCGGAGCTTAGAGACCGTCTCAAATACTGAAGTCTGCGATTCTAATTTGCAGCCCAGCTTGGAAACAAACATGACTAATGGCCCTTTCCTTCAGCTTTCTCCCCCACCTCTTAGCCATAACATTTTCATGTCCACAGATGCTTCTCCTCACGGAATCTCCTGTACAGCAGCGACGCCTAAGGTAGTTAAGTTAAACAGAAAGCGATCTCGATCGGAAAGCGACAGTGAAAAGGTTCAACCTCTGCCCATTTCCAGCATCATCTGTGGCCCAACACTGGGAGCATCGGCTCCCGTAACAGTGAAACAGGAAAATAAAATGTCTTTGCAGCCTATTGCAACTGTACCCAACGGAGGCACTACTCCCAAAATAAGCAAAACTGTGCTCCTGTCTAACAAAAGCATGAAAAAGAATTTAGAACATGCTCCTAAGAAATCTCACCCGAAAGCCAAACCGGGGGTGCTGAAAACAAAAGACAAAGCAAAGGAGAAAGTTCCTAGCAGTAACGTTATGCCAGGAAGCCCAACAAAAACTGTGTATAAAAAGCCACAAGAAAAGAAAGGGTGTAAATGTGGTCGTGCCACCCAAAATCCAAGTGTTCTTACATGCCGTGGCCAACGCTGCCCTTGCTATTCTAACCGCAAAGCCTGCCTTGACTGCATATGCCGTGGCTGCCAAAACTCATACATGGCTAACGGGGAGAAGAAGCTGGAGGCATTTGCAGTGCCAGAAAAGGCCTTGGAGCAGACTCGGCTTACTTTGGGCATTAATGTGACAAGCATTGCGGTGCGCAATGCCAGCACAAGCACCAGTGTAATCAATGTGACAGGGTCACCAGTAACTACGTTTTTAGCTGCCAGTACACACGATGATAAAAGTTTGGATGAAGCTATAGACATGAGATATGACTGCTGAATCTTTCTTTTCCCTGCCGTCAGGAGGGGAACTGCTACAGTTTTAAGGCAGCTATGGTTCTGTTTAACTTGCTGGAGCTCCTGCGTTTAGATCACTTGTATCAAGTGTTTTTCATTGCTATGTTATGTGTATTAGTGTCTGGGAAATAGTTGCAGATAATGGAGGAGTTACCCTAAAACTGTTTTTAGTTCTTACAGCACCTCATAGTTTGAGATCAATTGCTGATGTAAATGATTTTATCACAAGGTCTTTGGCAAGGAATACATTAACCTCATTGTACTTGGTCATGCTTTGTGCTCAGTCAAAGCTTCTGCTTAAATGTAGAGAGGTGGTATCTAGTTAGTCCATCTAAACTGTGCTAGATATGGTGTAGAAGAGTAATTATTGATTAGTTACAGTCACCATCACTAGAAAATCACCTGATATTCTTGTAGGAAAGGCAGCGTTGAGCTGGAGCATACAGTCCAGAAAGAGTAGATAATTTCCTGTGGGGAGAAGTGATTATCTGCTCTATGGAACAGTTTAAAACTAAAAAAGTTTAGTAATACGTTTAGGAAAGTAATAGCCCAAAAAGCAGCTCTGTCTCCGCACAAGGGCCAGGACGATCAGCTGGGTACATGTGAATGTCAGACTGCTGACTTGGGTACGCCGTCCCCGTTAACAGCATCACTCGTCTGTTGGGTTTTTTTGTTTCCTTGACAATTCCGCAGGTCACGTTCCCGATCAGTTATGCCCTCTGTGCCACCTCCGTTTGGTTGACATGTTACTGTTTTGGCTGGAGTGAGAAGATCACTTGTAGGCAAAGAAGACTCAAGTTTTATTAGCACCATTATGTCCTCCCCCACCCCATTCTGATTTTACTGCCGTTGCATCTAGAGAAAAGAGAGGGGTTTGTGGGTTACAGAGAGACTCCCTGGCTGGTATTCCTGTGCGTACTGCCAATCAGTGCCTGGGGTACACGGAGTCTTCTACAGCAGTTGCAACCATTGGGGATTTTGGTTTGTTTGGGTTTTTTTAAAGCTTGTATCACAGGAGACCTGGGACCCATCCCCTCGAGGATCGTTCTTTGCTGACAGGCATCTTTCAGCTGGGGCAGAAAATCAATCGCTATCTAAGGTCAAATATTTTGGATGTTTGTTAGACAGGAAAAGCTATAGAACTCACTCCACCCAGAATCGATCTCGTTTTTCCCTAATACATTGAAAGTAGTTTTTGAAGGTTAGTGCTTTTCACCCTGGGCTGAAAGGCTCTAAAAGAGAAAACTAACACAAAGTTGTCAGAGCTTATCTCGCAAAGTGTTAAAATGAAAGCGCCTTTTGTAGGAATTCAGCTTTATGCAGAAATAGTTTATTTCAGCGTAATCTCTAAATAAGAGTACAAGCGGAGGAATTTAGTCTTGCATTTAGGGCTTCGTTGGCAGCCTAAAAAAGTCGGATTACTTTGTGAAAGCGGAAATTTCTCCTCTTTGTATGATACAGCACAAATTAAACATGGGCTGACTAGAACACACACCATTACCTTCTAATTTAAAAGGCAATTCCTGTTTCAACAGCATGTTAAATAGTATGTGAATTTTTTTAGTTACTTTACTGCTTCCATCTTTCCTTTTATTCATCTGATGAACGCTGCAGTGCTTTCTGAGCTAACGTTAGGTGTATTTTGATTTGGCACAAAGCATGTACAATGATGGTTCCTCACCTAAGAAATAAGCAAAAACCTTTGGACACAAATGACACCTCCTTTTGTTTTGTAGTGTACCATGGTGTCATTTCCTGTGAATGTGGTCGATCTTTTTGTTGGTTTTGGTTTGTTTCTCCCCCCGTCTTTTTTGTGGGGTGGGTAGGGTGGGGGGTTAAAGCCATAGGAAGAAAAATGTGATGTACGTGTCCAGTCTGTACTTTTTTGTTTTTGTTTTGCAAGAAGAGTTGAAAAATATTTTTGATAACGAGTAAATGGTGGAAAATGCTTCTTAGTATCCTTGTCTTTATTTGCCAACCCAAGTACCCTGTGGTTTTTAGCCCTCATGAGATTTAATGATGTCCTATTAAAATGTATTTAGTTAAACTTGTATGTGATTTTTGTGTTGACCCAGAAGGATCCTACCATTTTCTAATTTGGTGGTTTGATCATGACCTACTAATGTAAATCTGTTTATTAGTCCACTACGTGTAAGAAAAGTAGCCAAACCAGAGTCTGATTTATGGGAGTGAACTGCACAGCATGGGGTGTTTCTGAATTCTTTTGCAGAGCTGTTAAGTTTTGCTGAGATTGTTGATGGTACATTTGCTAGGACTTTCATTAAATACATAGTGTCTTTGCTCCAGAAATGTGGGAGTACTCGGAATCTTTACTATCTCACTGCTGCATTACATATGGTACCAAAAGTTGGAGAATCTAGGTCAAGTGTGTTTTGGAACCGTCGACAGGAGAGCCCTGATCATTAATGTAAAATTGCAAATGGTAGATTCAGGTTGTTTCTAAAAAAACATTTCCTTTTATGCTGCCACGTTCTTGAAATGTGTATTAAAATTCAAATTGATTTAATAAATGTTAGTTTTCTAATTCTATTTTGCAACTGCTGAGGGCATCAGTGTGGCATATGTTGAACTTGTTGTCTAAATACTACTTGGTCTGTTGATGACTAATTCTGTAATTGTTTAAATTAGGGTTGGCTCGCTTTGGTTTTCCTAACCTCCTGGCTAGTTGTTCTTGAATAAGTTGAGTAATGGAAAGGATCATAATGTTGCTGCAAATAATTGCAGTGGCTCTAGTTAGAAAAGCCTTACTTCCCAGTTTATGGCATATACTGATCTGGGACCTTCCAGCCCTGGTTGTGGTCAGAGAGAGTTGAGGGAAGGAAAACTGGAAAACTGTCCGAGGCAGCCCAGAGCAAGGACTTGCTCCCTGCCAAGTGACCGTCTGCGGCGAAGCCCTGGGGAATCGCTGACCATCAGTTCTGAGGATCTGGGAAGTTTAGCTCCAGCTTAGCTTGGGCTGGTGGGAGTTCACCAGTTGCCATCGACCCAGGAGTTCCTCCTGTGGTGCTATGGATTTGGGGAATTGTTCTCCATGTTAGCACAGAGGAGGCTGCTTGGGGATTTCTTTTCATACAGGAAGTGTGTGGTATTTCAGCTTTCTTCCCAGTCTTCTTGACGATGATGATTAACTTCCAAACTTTATTAAAATCCTGTCGTTTGCAGAGCTGCATCAGAAGGAAAAAGCAGCTGTTTGTCAGGTTTGCTGTGGGGCTCTTCCTGCCTGAAAACATGTTGCAAAGATGGAAAGAACAGAGCTGCTCCTCAAAGGGGTGGATTTTTTTATCATGTGTAGTGGTACAAAATTAGTCTAGTGCTTGTGACCATCCAGATCTGAACATGTGGAAGATGTTCTTTCAAGAAAGAGAAGATACCTAAACTGATTATGAGTGGGCAAGCTCTTTCCATGTATCACGCATCAGTGAAATCACTGGCTGGGATTAAATCCTGGAGGGAGGAGGGACAGGTAGAACAGGAGGTGAACACTTGGATCGCACTGACCTTGCTGCTCTTCCAGCAGTTCATTCATGCAGGGGATGTTCTTGTTCTGAGGCTGGTCTAACCCTGCAGTGCAGTGCCTGCAAACAACAGGGTCACAACAGACCCCTCCTCCTGGTGAACTCCCCGTAGATATTCTTGATCCTGCACAAGTTTTAAACCATTATCACAAACCGAAGAGGCAGGTAACAGATGTTTCCTTGCGCAGCTGCTTCCACTGGTGTCATTGTGTCAGCTTACAAGCTGCTCCCCTGCAAGCACCGTAACATTTTGTAGTGTGAGGAAAAAAACCCCTGTAGATGCACGGTGTAGCGGCAGTCTGAAGTAAAACCTGAAAAGCCAGCCTTCCAGGGCAGGTCCTTCTGGCACAGCAAGGAGCTGCTTGTTCACGGAACTCTGATAGACTTCCAAGAAAAAGCACTTACAGATGTGGCACATGAATGTTGCAAAGATTCTGGTGTGATCCAGAATAAAAGCATCCACCCCCAGACTTTTTTAATGTATTCAATTTTCATATGAATTATATTTATAAAACTACTTTCCATTGCTAACTGACTCTCTGAGAAGTGAAACAGAGCAGCTTTGTATGTTACAATCATTCCAAGTAAGTGGTGGGGCTGATGGAATTCTCTAAGACAGGTAGACAATACTGTTTAAGGTAGTACTGGTAATGTCGCAAGCGCATTTTCTTTGTGTGGTCTTAACTAATTTTTCAAATGGAGGGGCCTCTCATATTTTGAGGAAACCCCAGGGTCACCACTGAAACGCGACTGTGCTGTATACAAATTGAGGCGCAGCAGAGACGGCTGCCCTGTCAGTCTCGCAGATGAAGTAATATGATGATACAGTGATTAAGCTTGAGCATTTGCATATAAGGAAATTGGAAAAGGCATTATCCTTTTCTTTTGACTTTTTTTTTAAATATACTTTTTTTCTCCTTAATTCCACTTGCAAAAGATCCAGGAGATACCGTATTTTTCCCAGAACAGGTTAGAATGAGAGAGCTTGGCATTCTGGTAATTCACCACAAGGGTAGTGCTCTGTGTTGAGGATGAAGATGTGAGGAAGCGGTCAGACTGCTTTTTTCCCTGGGATTTTTGAGAAGAAAGCATGAAGTTTTGGCCTTGGCAGGCTTGCTGGCAGGTATCTGGGTGGTGCGAGCTTAGCAGTAGCAGGGAAGGCAATTCTGGGGCAGCGGCAGATGAAGTGATCAGTAATGCTTTACCCCACCACTAGGAGACAGGTTTTGCTTTTTAAATTCAAAAGTCCTTTATTTGCCAAAAAAAAGGAAAAAAATACAAAGTAAAAATACAAAGATAAAACCATGCCAGCACAAAATGTCTCCAAACTACTTTTTAAAAGTATGAGAACCTTTATTGTTAAATATTCAGTTTCTAAAACCATCACCCCATGGTATGGAGAAGAGATTAGAACAAAAGGGTATAACAAAAGCAGTTATATTTTTTCTCACAGCGGCTCATGCTCTTTATTGAGGTTCATTTTGGATTGCATAGACCTAAGATTCTGCAATTTAGAAATGCCGTACTCCAAAAATACATACCATTAACGTGATGCTTCAGTTTTTTCGGGTTTTTTTTGGCCTTTCAGGCCTATTCTGTTTCAGTAAGTAAGCGCAGTGCCTTCGCTAGAGCAGGCCGAGTCAGCTTTCTTAAATCCTCAGTTCAGGAGCACAGGAAGGTTTTTCCGCAATGTTTTTTCTGTAAACCTGAGGCTGACTGGAATTTTTTTTTTTTTTATTTTTGCTGTCCGTGTCTGTTTTGCAACAGTGCCGCGCGGTGGCAGGCAG